TTCCGGTCAAGGGCATGTACCTGGGTTGCGGGCACATCTCCAGTGGGGAGTGTGCAGGAGGCAGCTGATCGATGTTCCTCTCTCATCAATGTTTCTAACACTCTATCCCTCTCCCTTCCTCTCTGTAAAAAATAAAAAAAAATATTTTAAAAAAAAAAATAATAAAGATATACAGGAATGGCTCTGAATTGAAGGAGGAAATAATCTTCCACTAGTCCTCTATTTTTACATGAATCTTAAGTGTTTCTGGATTTCAGCTTTTCTTTTAAAATTTTCTCATGAAAATCAGCCTTGTCATCTACTAACCCAAGTGAACAAATTGCCTCATTCCTGCCTCCTCTGATCCAAGAAATACGAAATTAAGAGGAAGTAGTATGTAGAAATAGCTTACATTGTCCATGTTCAAACTCTAGATCTTTACTTAAACTCTTTGTGACAGTAGAAAATTAAACTATTGACGTTTCAGTATCCTCTAAAATAAAATGCAGTAAATAATGACTACTCTGTAAGATGTTTCAAGATTAGAGATAATGTATGTAAAACATCCAAATAAATTAATTATAGCACAATAAATGGGAGTCAATCTTATGAAACCTTGATTTTATATTTTAATCAGTGGTAATCTCTGATGCATTTACATACAAATTCATTTGAAACTTATACAATTAAAAATTATAGCCTTATCACCCCATAAAGCAAATATTACCTAACTCTGGAGCCAGCTACATAGAGACTTCTTTCTATTTGTCCTCAAGTTACCTATTTCAATCCAGGTAACCTAGATATGTACTATAGTGGGGAATCAGCAACAAATTCCGGCCATTTCATTCATTCCACTGTGATTTTATGGGTTTTAAGGATAAGTTAAAAACTGTCTAACTTAATTTCACCAGAGGAGCAAAGAAATGTCACTGAGAGGAAGGCCTCTAAGAAGCTATGTAGGCAGTCTCTCCATCATTCTCTCTCCTAAAATGTTACCTCAAGCTCTCTTCTCTGTTCAATCCTTAGACTATTTTATGAATTTATTGTGTTCAATTTGGGTTTCCCTGGAATAACGGCTTTTAACTTTCTTCTTTTCAGCATGAATAAGGGGAAAACTAAATGTATGTCATTCACTGGAAATGTTTTTCATCTTATTCTCTCTCCGCTGCCCAGAGGCAAACAAAGGGAGAAACAACTAGGTAAGCTAATTTGAGACAGGCATTAAAAAGTAATCTTTATTTTATTTTGTTCAATATTAACATTCCATTAATAGGAAAAAATATATCTAAGATTGGTGTTTTAAAACTAAACTTCACTCTACATTCTGTTTGGTGGGTAAAGTCAATGTTGAGCCAGTCTTTTCTATCCTCATCCACCTATCTTCTCATCCATTGTCCAATGGTTTATTGAACACCTCCTATGTCCAAAGCAGGAAGAAATACTAAGAGATGAAAAAACACTTATTTTACTCAGCCATATTCTATGTTTCAAAACAAGTGGTTGAAAATTACCTGTTTCTAAGTATTCATAGAATAGTTCAAGACTTCCAAAAGTCTCAAGGTCATGATCCTGCTCCCATCGACTGTATAACTTTTCAGAGTTGGTCCGAGCTTTTCGGCGTCTCCACCAATTCAGAGCCAACCTGTTGGAAGTGAGAGAAGTAAATACATGGAATAGTGTTTTAAAAGGGTTATAGAATCAGATCTAGAAATTGGAAGTAAGAAAGGTTAAGTAATTTAAGATCACAGAGCAAGTAGAGCGAAAGTCCAAATCAAAATCTAGTGTTCTTTTCATAACATGTGCCAGAGTCAAAAGTTCTTTATTGAAGTGATTAAGAAAACGTAATAACCTTGAATCTTCCCATGGAAATACATTTAACCAGAGACAGTTCTGTTAAAGAGCACGTGGAGAAGAGGATCACCATAGGGCTGTTTTTTTCTATTTAATTTACTAACTTTTTTCTTTGTTTGTATATATCTTTTTATTTTTTAAGTTTATCTTTATTGTTGAAAGTACTTCAGATAGCCTCCTTTCCCCCTCCATTTACTCCTTCCACCCTGCACCCACCCCTCCCAGGCCTTCACCACACTATTAACTTAAACATTTCCTTAAAAAAAAAAAAAAAAAAAAAAAAAAAAAGCACCATGATAATAGAAGAATTTCATCTTCTTCCAGAGAAAATTTCTCATGATTACTTAAATCAAGCAAAAACTTCTAAGTCACACATATGGATAAATGGCTTCTTGAATGTTTCCAAAGATCTGTTTCCCATTAATTATGATAGTCAACTGGATTGTCAATTCTATAAGGGCTATGCATACATGCATATAAATTCCCTGGTTAATCTCTCCCCACTCTCCCCACCCCCACCTTCCCTCTGAGATTCATCAGTCTATTCTTTATGTTGTAATGATATTAGGAAGAACACTCAAGAAAGTAAAAAACTGCTTAAAATAGAAAATGCATGACAACAAAAACACAGAGGCTTATCTAATCCATGAAAATAAATGCAATAATCCTAAGCAAAATATGACCTAACTAAATTCTATATTATATAAAAAGTAAATGTATATATATATATAAAAGGCTAATATGCTAAGTGTCCTTCCCACTGTCCAACCGGTCTCTATGATGCACACTGACCACCAGGGGGCAGACGCTCAACGCAGGAGCTGCTATGATGCACACTTGCCATTTACAGAGAAACAGCAGTGTGGACCTGGCCAACAAAACAACATTCAGCTTCCCCAAGTGGGACACAGACCCACCTCCACCCCAGTGTGACAGCCTACCAAATCACAGCCAATGCAGCTGAAACCCCATGGACATCCTGTAAATGGTTGCTGTGGGCACTGCGTAATGACTTCATGCAGCAATGCCTGGCTTCCTCTCCCTAGCGACTAGCCTCCTTGCAGTTTCTTCAGTGCCGGGGTCCAACCCCAGCAGGTCCAGGGGTTCCCCATAGGTGTGGACGGAGTCGGTGAAGAAGGAATGAATGGCACAGAGGCAGTGTTCAGTTCATCAGCATAGTTGGGTTCTCTTGTCAGGTTCTCCAGCCAGGTTCTGTCCAAGCTCTAGTCATGTTCTCTTGACACAGAGGCAGCCATCGGGTGATCATCATAGCCAGGTTCCTCTAGCCAAGTTCTGGTCAGGATCTCCAGCGAAGTTCTGGTTAGGATCTCCAGCCAGGTTCTGTCTTCTAAGTTCCGTGTAAGTTCTGTCTCCTAAGTTCTGTCTCTTAAGTTCTGTCTCTTAAGTTCTGTCTGTAGGTTCTGAGTTCTGTGTCTCGGGTCTGTCTCTTGGTCTGCCTCTCTAGGTTCTGACTCCTATTGTCTTGTTGCATCTGTATTTATACCAGTTGATTCTAATCCTATCAATCTCTATTCCAAAGGTTAGGGCGTTTCTTATCTCCATTCCAGGGAGTAAAGATTATGTAGCTTAAGCATGATTGTTCGTAGTTAAAGTGATTAATTACCCGCCTGGCACTTAAGAGGTTTTATTCCCTCCCTAACTTCAGGGGAAAATCCCTACCTGGGGAAACAACCTTTCTCCTCGGAGAGGTGACCTTGGTTAAAACACATAGCGCCAAGAAGGTGAGCAAACATATTAAGAACAGTATGCCATATATGCCAGGTCCCTTGAAACAGCAAGGATGGACTGGCTCCCGGCACTTCAGCCCACAAACACAACTTGCTTTATACCCAGGTGGAAACATATACACTTTAACCAAATGTCTGTGAAGTGTTTTCCCGTGCCTCATCTCATTTGATCCTCACAGAAGTCCTGGAGTAAGTAGATAGGAGACTCAGTGGAATCCTATTTTCTTTTCATTAGCCGGAAAATGGAGATTTAGAAAGCTTAGAAACTTGACCCAACTGAAAAGAAGTAAGAAATGGTGGACTTTGAAAATGACTTCAGGTTTTCTCACTGAGCAGAATATAGTCAAACACTGCTGACAGTAAAATA